CATTTACTGTACAAATATTATAGTTTTGAATATATAAAAGAATATATAAAAGATAATCAAATGGTATATTTGTCTTAATCATTATTGTAAATTAGATTTTTAAGTTATAAAAAAATGTTTGCATGCATTTAACTTTTTGCGTGAGTTAATTTGACTCATTTGTGGTAAACTAGAGTTAACATACTCAAATGTTAATCTAACTGCTAACATGATTGTTATTCGAATATTTTGTATTAAATTGATATATTTAATATTTTTTAAAAACAACATAACATGAGAACAAATAAAAATAAATATAGTTTTAAGACATAAATTGTAAGATACATTAATAAAATATAAGTGCATGTTAATATAACATAAATAAATATTAATTTTACTAAAGAAGTACAGTTGTTTCTACAATTTGCTTCCAAATTGTATCATAATATTACATTTTTATATTAATTTTTGACATAATATTTGTATTACTTGTTAATATATTCCTCTTTTAGATATTTTGTGCAGGTAATAACATCAAAATTTGGATGGATCGTGAAATATATATTTATACGTATTAACATCAAAATTTGGGAAACGTGAAATATGTAAAATATGGTATAAATTTTCCAACTATGTAAAAAATAATAGACACATGTATTATACAAAAGTAAATCAAAATATGTGACGCATAAAATGATAAACAAAATTCTATCCTGACACCTGACGTGAATTTTCGTTTAAAATGAGTTTAACGAATTCCCAAATTGAAGACAAAATCGTCGGGTGTTTGTTCTGAAGCGACACGAAAGGGCTCAAACTTGTGCCCGCATTTTCCAATCGCGCTTTGTTCCAGAATTATTGGTCTCACGTTCAATCGCGAGCGTTCCAAGTGGTTCTTTAAACAGAATATATATTCCCGATATCTCTGTGAGACTGTCTCGGGGAGAGTTTATAACAAAAAGAGACCGCGGGTTAATAGGACGATCGTCTTATTGATCCCCCACAGGGCGCCTCTGCAACGGCAACTGGAGAATATTGCGTGATCGCGGGCGATTTCTTTCAACTTCTTTCTCTTCATCTAATAGCGGTTTTCCACTTATTTCTTCGCGTGAGGAGTGGAATATATATATATATTGTTATAAATGGCGCACCATACTGTGCTTTGATTCAACGCACCAGTTTTCGAAGATCTCCCCTTAAGGCATCAATAACTCTGCGTCGCCTATGCGCGATAAGATAATATCAAAATTATATCCATCATTCGCGTTGATACGAAAAAAAATTATAATACATTTTGACGTAGTGAATGTAGGTAAATAGAAATGAATAAAGCACTGTAAATATTTCATACGAAAATATCGAGAGAGAGAGAGAGAGAGAGAGAGAGAGAGAGAGAGAGAGAGAATTATTTCGCTGTTTATTTTGGATTCCAAGACTCAGTTCCCTTAAGTGCGAAACACATTATTGTATAGTACAAGATTATAATACTAAAATATATAGAAATACATGACTTAAAAGCTTTATAGTAATGAAGAAATAAATTTAAAAAATGTTTTAATAAAATCAAAATCAAATCAAATCGAAATAACAGAGTATGTAAGTGTGAGAAAGTGCAATTGTATGTATATGTATCATGTATAGAGTCTGTGTAAGAGGAGTAATCTAAATGAAGTTAACAAAAGCCTAAAATCAATAATATTAATCAACCTTGGCTGATAAAAAATTTTTTATACATTAATATGTATAAACATATGTAAATATTCATAAACACATTGATAAAATATATCCATACATACTCATACATCTTTTTCTTTTGCAAAACTACTTTTTAGTGTAATAGAAATAACAATAGTTAAATGAAAACATAAAAAATAATTAAAGGGATAATTTTAGCATTGTTTGTTTTAGAAAAAAACAAGTTCGGAAAAATGTTAAAAAAATTGCTCGTACACAATTATGTATAATTTTATATAATTATACATATAATTATACATAAGTAATATTTTACATTTTTTTAAACTTGATTTTTTTTCTAGAATAAAGAGTGTAAAAATTACTCTTTTAATTACTTTTAACGTTTTTACTATTGTTATTTCTATTATTACACTAAAAAATAATGTTACAAAAAAAAGAAGGATGAACATATTTCATATAAAATTATGTATGTTTATAAATATGTATGTTTATACATATTTGTACACATTTATGTATGAAAAATTGTTTACCGAGTGGGCGTTGATAGTCATAGCGTTGGTTTCGTTGTAACTGCTGGCAATCCTAAATGGGTAATTATAAAATTTGTTATTATAAAGATTCTTAGAGACTCAGAGAAATAAAGTTTTATAATTCAGTCGTATAACATTTAAATAAAAAAAAAAAAGGAGGGAGGGATTGTCAGGAATCATCGCGTTAAATAACCATATCAGATATATTTTTATGGCCGGTATTCATAAAGTCCGTTCTTATTTTAAAACCATCTTAAGTAATGTCTTAAAATGCAAATATAGTTCGCTGATTGGCTTATGATATCTCAAGACTGTACCTTAAAACCGTTTTAAATATAAGAACTGATTGTGAATACTGATTTATATCTGCGTAACTATAAAAAAATGTACATCATAGATATATGCAACATATTATTTTTTAGGAGAGTTGAGGATGTGATATTAGCCCTCTTTTTACGAGGAGTGTTATTAGCTCTCTAAACAGAAAGCTAGTAAAACATCCCTATAAAAAATTAATGTATACTTCGGAAGCAAATTAAGGGAGGTCATATTTTACGCTACTGGATGGGTGGAGAGTAAAAAAGTCAGAGAGAGAGAGAGAGAGAGAGAGAGAGAGAGAGAATGTGATTTCAAGTATTATTAACATATCGATCAATATTTTTAAATATATTTTTCCTGTTGATTATGTTTTATTACGTTCAAAATAAGATGTATAAGATATGTACTGTTAAATTGATAATGTCAATTAAGTTAGTCAAAATTTAAGTTATTTTTAATCATTTTTATGGATCGTTCTTACTTAATATGTTGTTAATTTGATTAAAAAAATAGAGTTACAGATTTTAATTTAAGAAAATGTATTAAATTTGATTCATAAATTTACTTTGAAATCATAGGAAAAAAACAAAAACCTAATCACAGAAGTGGATTAATTTGCATTTTGCATGAAATTTTAAAACAGCAAAATATTATTTAACTCAAGAAATAGAACTGTTACCTCCTTTGATATCTAACAGTGTACTGTGTTCTAGTATCCTAATTCTGTAACTCTTAACTCTTAACAACAATATCGATGTCGTTGTATTGTCAAAGTTATGTGTGATAAAAAAGACAATTGCACAATGACAATATAACGATACTGAACTGTCGTTAAGAGTTACAGAATTAGAGTACTGGAACAGTATTGTCGTAGATTCTTACGTCGTAGAAAATACATTATTCAATCCTATATTTTATTTTCTTATCACGTTCAAAATAAATTCGTATACGTGCAACCAAAATGTATTTAAATTATTCTCTTTTTCGCTTTAAATATTTATGTAAATTATGAATTGTATATTTATTAGATATAAATATATAAAAGATATATTTATTATATTATATAGTATATTAGATCATATTGTTATACATAATACTATATAATATATTAATATTAATATTATAGTAATAGTATATCTGATAATATAATATTATATCGTATTATACGTATAATTATTACAAAACCATGTATATGTTGTATTATTTACATATAAATTGAATTGCTAATAATATATCTTATTTGTTGACTATATCAATGATCTTGTTATTCAATTCTTGCGCTTTGAAGAATTTATCTCAAAAAGCTTAATAAATAACATTCCCTCTTCCCCCCCCTCTCTCTCTTTCTCTCTCTCTCTCTCTCTCTCTCTCTCTCTCTCTCTCTCTCTCTCTCTCTTTCTCTCTCTCTCTGTCTCACTCATTCTTTCCACAATACAAATGAAACAACAATTGTCAATCGTCGTCAATTACGATCGTTATTACACGCCGTCATAATACTTTAAAATTCCATGACGCATATTCAAGAGAGAAAGAGAGAGAGAGAGAGAGAGAGAGAGAGAGAAGGGGTGAGACAGAATAAACGAAGGGAAAAACATTTTAAAAATATGTACCATTTTAAAAAATATTCCATTTCAACAGCGTTCGCGGTCAGATGACAGACCGATCCGATTTCCTAGCTATGTGATTCGCGTCATTGAATCCGTCCCTCACCGCCAAACCGATTTTTTTCCGTTATATCTGCAATTAATCGAACGCGCTCGCGTAGTGCTGCGTCGTGAAGTTGTGCACCGCGCTGCAGTGTTTTCAACCGCACCGACTTTCGCGCATGCGCAGCGCGGCGCGACACGCAGTCGCGCATTCGAGATGCGTTTTATGCTCCCCCTCAATTGTGTATTATGAAATGAGATGAAAAATGAGCAAATTTATTAGAATATTCATAATTGTATTGAGTAACACCTAATAAATTTATTCATTTTTGTAATTCTCATCTCATTTCAAGATACAATCGATTCTCGGACTCGTTAGGGATCGATTGTGTATCTTAAAATGAGGTGAAAATTAGAAAAGTGAGCAAATTCATTGGAATATTTATAACTTTCTAATAAAGAAAGGTATAACTATCTTTTTCACGATAATTCGGCGATCGTTTTATTTCTATGTTTTTTTTTTTATATATTTTTCTTCAAAGAAACCAAAAATTGTCATATAAAATGATGTTATATTAAAAAAAAATTCATTTCCAAATTTTCTTATGTATTTTTTATGAAGAAAAATACATAAGAAAATGTAAAGAGATAAAACAATGTCCGAACGGTCGCTAAAAAAAAGTTGTATAACTTTAATCATTTTTCAATTACAAATGTTCAGTTACGTAAATATATATTTTAATAATAAATTTATTATAATATTTAATTATAATTTGCTTATATACTTCTGTAATTTTTCAAGGTACATAATCAATCGCTAGGCTTAAAATTCAAAATTGTCGAGAGCGCGAAGTGGAGGGAACCGCGGGAACCCCGTCTCGTTCGAACTAGACACTTCACTGGGCGACGCGCTCGCCGCGCATGCGCCGAGACTCCTGGCCGCCGTAACGACGCCGACGCCGTTGCTGCGCGTTGCGGAGCATAAGGGGACGAGCAGGGACGAGAAAGAAAGATTCCAATCGGAGCCAACGACGCCGTCGCTTCGTAGCGATCGCCGACGATGCGCGACATCGGACATCGCGCCGATATCTCCTAGGAGTCGACGTCGCCGAGGGAGAGACGTAAATCATTTAAAACAATTCGCGCGAGCGCGAAAATGTGATCGCCCCGTCGTCTTCTCGTCTCATCAACAACACAACGTTCGACATCCGCAGTGGAGTCACCCGAAGCGATCGAATTCCATCGCGAATTTCCCGACGCCAGTTTCACTCCGTTTGCCCGGAACATGAACGGGCAAGTGCAGTCATCGCGAGAGAGGTTAGGTAGGTAAACATGCCTGCTGTTTACATTCCGCCCCTAATATCTAGCTGTCAATGGGCCGGTTCCCAGAATCCTCAGCCCCGTGAAGGGGCTTAAATTCTTTTTATTTTATTTGCTTTCTTCGCTTCCTTTGTCCCTCTCTTTTTTCGATTCGCTTGAACGCGTATTTGGTCCGTTTGACTTGAGTTTGGATTGACATGCTGACAGTGCGAGATACAGTTTGCATTGTTTCTATGTAGAGAACGATCGAAGCGCACCACCTTTGCCTTTATAAAATTGGATAGCTTAGACGTATGGTATATAGATACATGTTAATAATATCTATTCTCTATATATTACAGTCTAATACTCTAGTTTCTATTACAGTCATATGATAAAGTAAACAATGGCCGCTAAATAGAAACTTTTTGAAAATCTTGTTTGTTTCTATCGGATTTTCAAGATTCGGACAAAAGTCACCAGCATTGGAATTGATTGAATGGAACAAATGGATGCTAAATAGAAACTTTTTGAAAATTTTGATTGTTTCTGTTGGATTTTGAAGATTCAAAAGTCAACAAGCTTTAGATTAAGCCAAACAGAAAATTATATGATATAAAGGTATTATAAAAACATTAAAATACAAAATAAAATCAAAATCGTAGAAGCGAAGACCGAAGTAAAAGATCATTCACTGGAAAAAGAGTTTGATTGTATTAACTGGCATTCTGGTGGAAAATGGACAAATCAGATTTTTCTAATTGAATCTATATTCTAGTTGAGATAATCAGAATTCTATGGTCAGAATTTTCTAGAGCGTCCATTTTCAACCAGAAATTTTTTCAGTATGAAATTGACTGCTCAAATGTAACATATTAGGTGTTGGAATTAATTCGTAGCGTTTTTTAATGAAAGAATGTTATTTATTTCACATGAGCATTAAAAAATACATTAATGAAAGTACTTCCCATCACTTGTAAAACGCTACGAATTAATTCCAACACCTAATAATTCCAACTGTTAAAATTCCATACAGCACACTTTATATGAAAAATATCTTAAGAACGTCCTTAAGACATTTAGAGAATATGAGGACGTCTTTAGAAAGTCATAGGGCGATATTCACAGTCTGTTCTTATTTTAAGACCGTCTTAAGTAATGTCTTATGCCCGTATTTATAATCAGATCTTATATTTAAGGCTTCCTTAAATTTATCTTTAGAGCTCAGTAGCCAATGAAATAATTCGTAGAATATCTGAAGATAAATTTAAGGAAACCTTAAATATAAGACCTGACTATGAATATGGACATTAAGATGCTAATGCGGCTCTCTGGCCGGTATTCATAGTTAGATCTTATATTCCAGATCGTCTAAGATACAGTCTAAGATATCGTCTTAAGAAATCACGAAGATGTCATGAATCAATCAGAGGGCTGTATCAGCATCTTAAAACATTACTTAAGACAGTTTTGAAATAAGAACGAACTATCAATACCGCTCTCTGATTGATTCATGACATCTTAACACTGCACTTAAGACGGTCTTAAATATAAGATTCGACTATGAATACCAGCCTTAGAGATCTATGGAATGTCGGTTTGTTTTTATCTTTTTCTATTGGTTTATCCAATTTGATTGTACTAGTATATACTTATATTTAATATGAAATGGCTACATATATTCGAAATGTGGCAAAAGCAAGATAGAAAGTTTTAATGCAGTCTATTGCGATAAAGAAGCCTTCATATATTTTACATTAGCCTGTTCTGCGTCGCTGCACTGCACTAAAATTTTCTATCTCGCTTTCGCAAACTTTAAATATGTGTCTACTTCATTCTAAGAGCAACAAGTGTATACTACTAGTCCAACCACAAAGAACAGATCTCATCTTTTTTTATGTGTGAAAAAACAAGATCATTCTTTCGCTTTTTTATTCTCTTCCCAGCTTCTCTTTTGACAAAGCAGATGTGATATGATTAATAACAGATATAATTAACTCATAATACATAATATAGAAAATTATCCTCTACTTTTGAAAGCAGTTTACCTCTTATCCCAGTGTTAGCTGTTATTATCGCTGCTTTAACTGTGTGTCAATTTGAATAGTGAATTGAGTACACTGTACATAAATAACCCTGAGCTGTCGCATATATTATGAGATAAGAAGGCAAGGATGTAGCGATCCCGGCGACGTGACCTCTTAATTTATTTACCTTGATGATTTATATGTTTTAACAATTCTCGACAGCTGGTGCTAATCGCTTGTAATTCTACTGCTCTTTGCAGTCTTTGTAGTCCGAAATATTCTAATGTGAGTACGACACAGTATGGACAAAATAATCTTCACAAAATAACTAATATTAACCATATGGAACTTCTCTGTAACGTGTGTTATGACTCTGTGTGTGCAATGTATTAGCATCTAGTAGACTGAGTATTCAAATTGACACACAATTAACAAGACGGTGATAATAGCTGCTAACATTTGGGACGGGTAGCTTCCTCTTTCAAAAGGCAAGAAGTCTTATACTTTCATTTGCGATGAAGAAGGTAAGAGAAAAGTGAAAGTATGATTGGAAGTATGACAGACATATTATTATTCATTAAAAAATTTGAAATCATGATTTTCTTCTTCTTTATAATTAAATTTCTGAAGCGAAAACTGAAAAGGTGAAAATACATTGGTTGAAATTCAGTGGAGCAATAAAATTTTTAAAAATAATTAACAGAAATTAGAAATGACGTAAAAACATAATTTATTAATTAATTAATCAAAATGCAACGGATGTAATAGAGTAGTGCAGCGAAAAACCAAAGTTTGAAAAAGTTAAACTGTTTGCTTTATTCTATATTACTACAAATCTCATTAACTTTGACTTTTGACCTTTTTACTAATTTAATATTTTACCTCGGTGGAATTAAAAGTCCTTAAGTATTCATTGCTAAACATTTGAAAAAGTTAAGTTTTTTTTTTTTGAAAAATTTTGCAAATAGATGGTCAAACCAACACTGTGAAATTATAAGGTAGTTTGCTATCGCTGTTCTACTTTAATAAAAATAATATGAAAAATCAGAGAGCCGGTAAAAATGGCAAAAAATTACCATTATTAAACAGATAAATGTGTGAATGAATATTTTTTCAGAGATAATTTTTAAGATAAAACTGATAAATAACAAATATCTTTGTAGGTGGTTTCGGTCCCATGAATCTTGGATTATTTTCCGGAATGATCGCCACGGATCGTGTTCCTACAATTCAATCATTCAACTCAGACGCCGAGTTAGATGACACCATGGCCGCGACGGAAGTCGACAGCAAAGTCAAAACGAAATTGCTCTCTATGTGGAATATTATCTAATATGTTAAATATAATAATATTAAATAATTATGTTATGTAATATTATACTTAATATTAGATTGTCATTTTATTAGTAACAAAGGCATTTGGTAAATTTGTATGTAATAATACAAAAAGTATTACGAGAAATAATTACCGAGTTACATAAATACACTGAAAGAAAAGATTGGCTGCTGCAGCAAATTAGATGGTAAAAATGTTATGCCATATTTTACCATCTAATTTGCCGCAGCAGCCAATCTTTTCTTTCAGTGTCTATATTTTATAATATAGGTTGGACTGTGAAGATGAAGACGAACTTCTCTAAGGAATCTCCCGTGTGGTTGTTGGGACTGTGTTATTTGAAGAAGTCAGAATATCCCTTGGAGAGAGCATCGGAAGCATTAGAGCCAGTTGGAACGGGTAGTCAGGTTTCCTTGGCGATGGATGCCACGAATTTCGAGAATACCATAGAGGAATTCAAGAGAGATTTCATGTCGCGTCTTTGGTTAACATACAGACGCGAATTCCCAATCCTAAACGGCTCCACCTTTACCACGGATTGCGGTTGGGGCTGCATGTTACGCAGTGGGCAAATGATGCTGGCACAAGCATTAGTCTGTCATTTTCTCGGACGAGGTAATTGTTTCTCCTTTTCAAATTTAATCGAAGTTGAAAAGATGCACTGGATCTCTTAATTTCATGAGATTTAAAATGATTTAAATGATAAAAATGATTGGTTTATTTTCTTATAAAGGTATAAAATAAGAAAATTTGTTTCTAGATAAAAAACATAAAGTCAATATGCAAATTTTAAATATTCTAAATTAAAATAAAAATTATTTAAATTATTATTTTTATTTATAAATTTGAAATGGTAATTTTTCGCGATTTCATTTGATAAACACAGTGAATCTTTTGCATGGACTTGACTTTTGTTATGTTACATAAGATTGAATGATAAATTTATTTCCTGATTTTATGCAGAATGGAGATGGCGACCCGAACAATCGACTGACGAGAGCAGTCATCGGATGATTATCAAATGGTTTGGCGATCAACCAACGCCAGAATCTCCGTTCTCCATACACAAGCTCGTGTCGCTCGGTGCTTCAACGGGGAAACGCGCTGGCGATTGGTACGGTCCCTCCTCGGTCGCGCATCTTTTGTGTCAGGCTATGGAACGCGCCAGCGAAGATCCCAACAGTAAGCTCAATCAGTTGGCGGTATACGTCGCCCAAGATTGTGCAGGTTGGTATCAACGAATTCAGCACGATATAAAAGGATGATTTAATTACCGAAACTGGAAAAATACATGACATTTGAGTCTGTGCGTGTTACATCTAAGAAGGAAAGTCTAAAAAAAAAATGTTTAATTATATGAATAGCGGTTGAAATTTTTAAATATCTCTTCTCTTTCTATTAAAAAATAATATAAAACTTTCTACGATAATGTAAAACAAAATTATTCAAAAATTATACAGAAGCAGCATATTAATAATTTTTTTCATAGAGAAGAAAATTTTATTAAAAGTTTTGCAAATTAATAGAAATTCTGCTGTTCATTTTGTTATGTTACGCATAAATTAATTGTTGAACATTTTTTCAGTGTACATGCAAGATGTTGAGAATGTTTGCTGCACTCCAGACGGTGGACGGAAGGCATTGATACTCTTAGTACCCTTGAGGCTCGGTGCCGACAAGTTGAACCCTGTTTACGCGCCTTGTTTGACATCGCTGTTGACATTGGACACGTGTATTGGCGTGATCGGTGGCCGACCGCGACATTCGCTCTATTTCATCGGTTATCAAGATGACAAACTGATCCACTTGGATCCGCATTATTGTCAGGTAGCATTCAATTTTTAAGGAAGCAAATATCTATATATGTCTGAAATATTTAATTCGCCTTACTTAATATTCGAATTTTTGTCACCTTAATTTTTATTTCATTTTATTTTTTTGTTTTATTTTCTTTATCCTTAAGTTAGAGAGGCATACATTTTTTTCAATTTATTTTGTATTTTGCTCTCGAAGTAGATTTTATCTTAGAATATAAAATATTTTTTAAATATAATTATTGATTTATTTCTTCACTTACACACACGCTTATTCAGGAAACCGTTGACGTCGAAGGAAATGAAAAATTCCCGTTGACAAGTTTCCATTGCACGTCACCGCGAAAGATGTTACTCTCGAAGATGGATCCTAGTTGTTGCGTAGGCTTCTACTTTCCTGACAAGGAATCTCTCACCGATTTCATGGAAACAATTCAACAGGTAAATGTGAACATACTATTAATTTTAGGATATTTGAATTCGAATTCAATTAAGATATAACAATTTAAATTAACAAAAAGAAACCATCAGTAAAAATATGTAAAAAGTATACTTCCCAAGTATACTTTTTACATATTGGAGACAAAAAGTAATTCAAATATAGGCACATCTATAAAGGATAAAATAAAAAAAGGTTTCTATTTTGTATCGAGTTAAAATGTCTCCTTAACATTGCAGTTCGTGATACCGAACCAGAATATGGACTACCCGATGTTCCTGTTCTGCGAGGGAAGCGGCAAGGATCTGCAGCAGGGAATTGAGGTCGTCGAGGGTCTTCTGCCGTCTTCAAGTAGATTCGGTCATGAGAGCATGGAGGACGATTTGTTCGAGTGCGAGGAGTTCGAGTTGTTGCACTAAGAAAAAAAAGAGAAAAAAGGAAGAATGGAAAGAACGCGAGAATACGATACACGCGATTCCATGATCGGAGTTACTCTCGAGAACATCTCTGCGTCTCTACCTATTACTTCGTGAATGTAATTTTTTTTCGTATATTCGCTTCTCCAGAGCGTATATAAGAAAACAGCGAATATATCATTCGGATATATCATTCTGGAAAGGACGTCTGAGTTGAGGATTGGCGCATTCCCATCGATCTCAATGCGTGAATGAAAACGGGATGTGAGTTAACTCAATGACCAGTTACTGTTACTTATGAAAAAGGAGATAAGAAAGCAAAAGATTATTTCCGACGTTAGTACAAGTTATTCGATTAAGCTGATTCATTCGTATTTTCAATTAATATGTATATGTATATATGTATGCAATTATTATGATGATGCACATTTCTTATCTTGTTACATATAATCTCAAAATTGATTTTATGTTAATCATCAATAATGGCTAATATGACTTAATATTGCAACAATATTGTTACAAGACTTTCGTTAGTCTTGAAATAATTTAACGTGCGTTAGATTAAATCCCGTTGAATTGTTGAATTAAAATTTGCGAAATTCTTTTTCTAAAAATGTTGTAAAAAATCCGTGCAAATAAAGCGCGACAGTTCTTAAAAGTCTGATTCATAAGAAGAGTACAATAAGACATTAATTTATTTATTTATTTATTTATAATTGAGTTATTCTTGAGTAACTCTTCTGCCTTGAAAAGGAATAAAGAGGATTTGAGGAACGTAAACATGGTATATACAGGGTGAAGCATCCAATAGTGTATGTCTAAGTATCTATTTAGAAAAAGTTTGATATCTGTACCTATTTATAGATATAAAAATAAAAAATGATGTTCAAGAATATCTATGTAAAAAAAGCGAAATTTTTGAAATGTTAAAAGCTATGACCTTAAATGAATCTTTTTCCTTATTATTCCTACGAGCTAAATTACTTCATCTTTAACGATATTTTCAAAGACAGCAGAAACAATAAAATAAATTTACAATAAAATAGAGTAGAATAAATTTTAAAGAATAGATTAGAGTAAAGCATTCATTTCGCGCTTCAAGATTATTCGAGCGTTCTAAAGAAGCAAGATAACGCTTAATAACGTACAAGATGTTTGATCGATGACAAATAAACCTAGAATATTCTCTCTAAAGTGTAAGATAGATTTAAAAATAGAAAAACAAGAATTTATTCACTTTAGAAAAAGAGGATTATTAAAGAATCATTTAGATGTACACTTTTTTTAGATGCCTCGCATTGTATATGTATGTATGCGTGTATATGCATATGTATATGCGTATATTGTACTTATACTGTTGAATATGTACACAATATATTGAACATTGTTATATATATCTCTTACAACTGTAACGCTATACGCTCGAAATAAAATAAGAACAAGTGTGTGACGATTACGCCATTCCAGAAATGTATTATCGATCATTCGAACGATCCATTCCTACTTTGTCATTTGTACTATATTTCGGACTTTAGCCTGACAAACAGCTGTAGCAATCAACAGCTCGTTATGCAAGTGCTAAGTCGCGGAAACAAGAGATAACTCGTCCTCGGTTCAGTGTCTTTAGTTACCGTGAAATCTCGTTGTATCACATAGGCATTTTCCATCGGAAACATTTACGAGAGCCTATTATTGTCGACACGACATCATGTGTATTTACAACCTAATGACATTCACGCTTGTGTACGTTCCTGCGTGCGTAAGAGAGCTCCACGCGAATTGCACTGTACACATTCTCTCTATTGTCGCAAGAAACAATTGTCGGATGAGAGCGCATATTTCCATTTGTTAATCGCGTGAGATGAGCAAATTACAGGTTTCAAATAGGTCTGAATAGACTTGTTCGTTTTCGTACTTAAATAATGAATACGAGAATATTTTTAGACGCGCGTTATCTAATCTAATGAGATCTATTTAATTCAATTTAATTTTTAGGCAGATAAGATGTAAGAATTAGACACAGATTTAATGTCCGAAAATCTGTTTCTTTTAGTGATATATTTATCGAAAAAGAAAAATCTCCGAAGATCTAGATATATTTGAAAATCAGAACCATCTGCGCGATTATCCGACATTTGAAGTTATTTAAATATTCGATCTCTCTGAAGATCAACAGTATTGTGCCACACAATTTCTGATCGCCGGCCACATTTCATTCGTAGTGTTGCCGTGAAATTCCCTCAGTATTCCAATCTCACGATAAAACTGCAAGACTGGCTCAGTTTTCATCGCGTAATCCTGCAGTCTCTTCTGCACGACTTCTGGTTTATCATCTTCTCTCTGACATAACGACTCACCCGTTACGTCATCCTTGCCCTACAAAACACGACAAAATTATTAATGTTAAATTATTAAAATTCTTATTAAATTACAAAATATTAAATTATTATTATTATATAAATAACTGTTATTAATGTTGAAATATTCAACTCTCGTTATAAGCGAAATATAGATATTAGCATTTTTTAAATAATTAAATTAAAATATTTTATAACAAGTTCTATCGTGTTACAGCCTTGGCCGAAGATATAAAGCACTATCACAAATTGACGTAAACGTTCTGTAACAAAAAGTAAATTTAAAAAGTTTTATATTGAAAAATATTTATTCTTATAATAAATTTTAACGTTTTGTTATTTTTCTTTGGATTTTTTCCAAAAAAGTATAAATTGAAAGTTATACTTTATACTTATGACCAAATAATCAATTGATTATAGTGTGAACTCAGTTATACTCTCGGCTTGTTCTAGCTCTTTTTTTCAATGAAACAGATATACACTCGTTGCGCTGATTACCGGCACTCGTGGATCGTTGAAGCCGATATTGTAGACCCTACCACTGGACACATGAACCCATCTGCTCTTGACTCGGTCCAGAATGACGGTGGTGGGCACCACGAGATTTAGCACGAGATTGATTGGATGTAGCCTCTGCAATCGCTCCGCCTGCGTCAATGTTCTCGGGAATCCTGCCAAGATATTCGTTCGCGTTTAGAAACACAGACGGCAGGTTCACGGCTTCAAGAGAATGACCTCGGTCTCGTGACAAGGTCAGAATAATTTCCCTTCCACTCACCATCCAACAGCCAATTCCGATCCGCCATCGATCCGATCTCGTTGCCGATAAGGGATACCATCGTATCGTCTGGGACGAAGCTACCGCTGTCCATGTATTTCTTTATCTCCTTGCCTAGATCTGCGAATGAAACATTTTCTAGTAAACATCGTCTAATAGTAATTATAACATCAATGTTATAATTTCAACAAAATAACTATTGCGTATGTAATATTATATTTACACAACATATGTAATATTATATTTATGTTGTTGAGTGTAAAATAATATTGTTGTGTTGCTGTTAGTGTTGCTGTTAGTTTTTACTGGGTTCTCTGAAGACGCTTCGTCAACGGGAGTAGTACTTTCTTTCATTGAATTATAATCGCGTATAATAATCGCGAAAATTTTTTGTAAATATTGAAAATATCATGTTTGAAGTGTTTTTAAAATTAACGATAAACTGGTTTTCAAGCATTATTCAAGAATTATTTTATGTAATTCTAAGATTTGCACATATAAAGCTGTAATCATACTAACGCGATTGGCGATTACTTTTCAACCAGAGCAAAGCAGTCACCGATCGCTCTGCTCTAATTGGTTGAAAAGTATATAATATACCTGGGAAAAAAATGATTTATATATAATTATATAAAATTATGGTTTTATATACAGTTTTATATATTTGTATATAAATGAACATATTTTTTATATATTATAGTTGTATATAATTATATATAATTTTATATATATAATTATATATAGAATTATATAAAAGTTACAATTATATATAAAATATATATTAATATTACTAATATTTTAAATACATTACAATCTATTAACATAAAACAGAAAAATCAAAGACGGACAGAAAAAACTCTATTGATATTAATTTTTAATTCATACGTACGTGTTATCGAAGTTCACACGAAATTGATCGAGTGTGATAGGTATAGAATATTGACGGAATTAAAATTCTTTCGATAATGCGATAATGCGGTATTGAAAATAAGATTAAACGCGAGTAATATATCTTGTCAAAATGGATAAGAACTCTGACATGTTTTCAAAATTAGCTAATGGATATTCGTTAATCGAATATCTTTTGAATTATATAACGATACGAGAATAAAAATAACAACAAAGTTTCATATTTTCGAAATCGATTAACTACAAACACACATTGAAATTAACGATAATGTTGACAATAGAAACTAGGTTAACGATAAAAAAAATCTCAATTAACGCAAACTAAAAAAAAAATGAAATTTCTCAAATGGCACAATAAGTCACGATAACGTCAATCATAAATAATTGAAAAATTACTTTTAACGTCATTTTGACGTCACGATGACTTTGTTGTTCAACTTGGAAAATTTTCCACAAATTCACTATACATATCTTATCACATATATCAATGATAAAACGAAAAGTAATGAGGAACTATTGAAAGCATTACAACGTAAAACTTTTACAATGAAACAGTTGAAAACAATATGATGTAAAGTTTACATTATATATATAATATTTAAAAGGACATTCAGGGCAAAAGCTATCGCTGATAACAATGACGACGACGACGACGACGATGACGACGTACCAGTGCCGGCAAACACGTGGAAGCGTAACTTGTCGCCGCTGGAGATGTGCGCGACGTCGAACTGCTGGACGATTCTGGAGGAGACGGTGCCTTTGCCGGACGCCGGCGCGCCCAGGATGACGGCCCTGAGAGGCCTGAGGGCCGTCGCGGCGTGACACGTGGTGATCGCCACCATGGGAGGCTGTGGTCTAAGGGACTGGCGACTTCCTGCGATCGACAGCGGGAACGATGGCAACCGTCTGAATGCCGCGACGTTCTCGCATCGTCCGCGCCAAACTGACTCTATCCTCGATTGCCTCGATCCCTACTATTGCCTTCGTCTTTGATACACTAAAGGCCATGGCACCCCGGCGAAGCGCCGTGACGCACTGTGACGTAACCGCGACGCGCCGTTTCGTAACGTTGTGTCACGTCGCGCAGACTCGAGCTGAGACAGAACGATGGATCACGATAATATAACGTCAGAGATGTTAGAATGACATCGAAGTAAATCGTGACTAACTGGAAATTAAGTGACTTGTAATAATCATTTTGAAGCCATTTTAATGTCATGTGATATTTTGTTCTGTTTGAGGGAATGACGGGAACGCGGAGAAATTGAATGACCCGCGTACTTCTCCCCGTCAGTAGGTGCGTTCGGCATTGCAAATCGGAGGCGTCCGTTTGCTCTTTACTTCGAAAATCGTTCGGCAATTTTTGCAGCTTCCTGCTACATCTCATCTGCGTTCGGTATTAACATTTCAATCGAGCTGCTCGATCCACTCCGGATTCAAAGACCGAGCTAGCAGAGCTAATGCAGATTTTCGCGCTTAAATTAAATTCATAACTTGTATATTTATGATAATGTATCCAACTGATTCGTTAATACATAACGTACATTCATCTCTTTTATAATACTTCTATTTTATAAATAGTGTATTTGAACTGTTATAATGAGTATTATCTGAGTCTACAAACGCTCAAACAAATGCTATCAAATAGAAATTGATAGAGTACATTATGTATAATATTTAACGAGGAAAGTAAGTTTTTAATTCTTTTCCTCTTTATGAATTTGAAGTTACGTTTACGAAAACAAAGAATTTGCTAATTAATTTTTATCAAAGCTTATGTTGCACATATAGAATAAAATAAAATCAAACTGAATTAATATATTAAAGACTTTAACAAATATAAATCAAGTGATATATAACTTATAAATTACTGAAATTATTTTGCAATGTAGTACTTTCTTTTAAGAAAACACACATTGTATATGAATCTGCTACATTCATGTGTAACAATCTATTTTTAGTATATAAAATTATTAATCAGTTTCTAGTAAGGCAAAAGACATTTTCAATTAATAGGGTATTTATTATTTATTCATAAAAATAAACAATTTTATTTTATAATCTAACCTTAAAGGACAGTTTACAGCTCTGTAGTGTTCGGAAATAATTCTTGGCACTCGGATTGCTCGAAGATCACATGATCAAGCTCGCCATCTATTAGCTCGCATTTCAGATTTATATTGCCTAGAGAATCTATAATCAGAATGACGCCATACGGGTATCACTTGTGATTGGTCCGCCATGTTTTAGCCATTCCCTCCAGTTTTTTAAACGCATTATTTTCTAAATTTTTATTCATGCTAAAAAATGCTCAAAAATTGTGACAAATTAAAAAATGATAATAAATAAATATTGTATATAAAATAATAAAACTTTTACATATATTATTTATTATAAAATTTCATTTATTTTGTACTATTGCAATATTGTACATTTTGTAATATTGCACATTACTTTATACAAAACGTTATTTATTGCACATTATTTGCGCTATTAAATGCGCTAGTTTATTATCCATTCTCTGTTCCTATATTTTAGGAGCAAAATGCATCTGTAATAATATAAAAGAAATCAGAAATTCAGAAAAATATTATGTATATATCATTTCATAAAATATTATATATTAAATATTGAAATTATCATATTTGATTTAGACTAACAATGTAATGATATATAATTGAAAAGATTACGACAAAAAGAGAAAGAATTAAATTCGTAACCAATGTGATGACTATACATATACTTAGTGCCAAGACACTATCGTGATATATTAGATATTATAATTAATTTGTGTATATTTTATGTTACATTTTTATTTTAATATTTTAAATACATTATTTATAAAGAATAAATTACTTTACCTCACATACAGATGAATTTTTTGACGGGGTCCAATTTTTATATTTGCCATTTATACTCTTTAACCAATTCATTTGGCGTTTTGTGTCTTTCGGAATTATTATCATAACATATCCTTTTTTTAATGAATTGTTACAAAACGGTATCGCGGCTCTCTGTGTATTGTCTTTTATATATATATATATATATATATATATATATATATATATATATATATATATGTTGTTACATGAATATAATACGTTAATGGCTATGTTCAGTAGAAAAAGCAGCTTCGTACAATATTGTACAATTCTTCAATACGACTGGTTTTTGCTTTAGGTTATATAATTTATTAATTAGATTTATTATATAATATTTTTTTATTTTAATCATATTTATTTTTTAAAACAAAATTTAATTACCCGATCGCGAAATCTATTTAAGTGTTATGCATTTTATTTATAATAATTTAATTTTTCAATTTATCTACATTTATTGTCTTTACCTATACAGTCCCTACCTAACCATATACTTGTCCTACCTATCCGTATTTTCATTTATTCGTGCCTATTCGCATATCCTATCTTTGTTCGTATATTTCTACTTCCTACATTACTTCATTAATGGGTAACACCGAATATAATACGCGAATATAATACGTTAATGATTGTGTTCAGCAGAGAAAGCAGCTTTGCAAATGTTGTAAAATTCATCAACACGATTGGTTCTTGCTTTAGGTTCTTATATATGAATTTAAATGAACTAATGATATTAAATCAAATTTTACAATAATTGCAAAACTACTTTCTTTACTGAATGCAACAGCTAATGCCTAATCATGTCCTATCGTGTACTGATAAAATCAGAGAGATTACCTAATTGCGTATTAAATAAATGAGCAATAAATGATAATAATTAAAATAGACTTTTAATTTTTAAAATACAAAAAATTAATAAATAACAAAGTTAATGAGAACCATTGCGGATAATGAAGTGCTAGAATTTGTAGATTAAAAACCCAATGAAACTTGCACTTCATTATCTGCACTAGCTCTCATTAGCCCTGTTATTTGTTAGTTATTGTATTTAAATCAACAATATAAGAACTTGCGATTTGCGAGTAAGTTGCCCTCCCGAATATTCAGAATTTATCTTTATATATATATTTTTAAAAAAATTAGATTGGTTTTACACACCAACCCACTTTGTTCAAATCTTCGTCTTTTTTCTGGCCAATATTCTAGCATAATACATGTATGTCAGAGACAGACAGCAAGGAGGAATATTCCTTTTTGCTGCCGACTAAAAGCGTAAAATTTTACGCCTTTGTATGATACGCGAAACACGAACGCGTCGCGAAAGGGCCACCATATTAATCAAATTGATTAAATATTAATTATCAATAATAATAATTTTATTAATACATGTGTGTGAATAAATTTATTCTTTATTCGTGTCTATTCGAAACTAAAAATATAAGTATTTGACTAAAAATAAATCTAAATTTAAAAAAATCTCTATGTGGGATATTTTCAACATTTTGATTTTATAAATCTGAAATATTGTGAAATTAGATCAAATTTCTTAATATAAATTTTACACAATATAAACAACAAAACTTCAAATTAAATATAAACGGAAATTACTAAATCGATTACTATCCCAAAATTTAAGGCCCATGTACGTATTTTTAATAATTCGAACGATTCGTTGCTGAATCTCATCTCAAAACATGTAGAGAGAGAGAAATAAAAGATAAGATAAATGATGTAAGATCCAAAAGGGAGATAACTTTCCCTTATTTATAAATATCGTATATCGTTTACGTTTTAAAAAATTAAATTAATATAATCATTTTCTGCATAATTTATTATTTCAAAATTAAGTATTTTAAAAGATGCAAAATTCCGAATGCGATTTTTTAAAATAATTCAAGATAAAATTCTTTTATATCTTGATACAATGAACCTATACTGGATCTTACGTCATGTTACTATTTTGAATAGTATAAAATCCAGTTACTACACATGGATAAGTTGTAAAAGTTTAGGCTAAAGTAGATGCATTTAGTGCAATTTAGGTAAATTATAGTAACAATTAATAATCATAAAATAGTTTTTATAAAAAAGCGAGATTAATAAATTATACGACAAATGCGTTACATTAAAATATCTGTTATTTCACTAGTAACAAGTATACAAATTATAAGTGTGAAGCAATACAAAGAATATCTTTGAAAACAGTATGTTATATACATATATGTGTATGTATATTATTTTTTTCTGCACCAACTTAAATAAAATTTAATCCTGAATGAATATTTGAAAATAGGTAGAAAGAATAATAAAACAATACTTATTGTACTGTAACGAACACTGTTCTATATTATAATATCTATAGACAAAAAAACAATTTCATTTACTCTAATTACTTTTTATATTTATGTTCTTTATATTTTTTAATTTACTGTATTTCATTTACTTAAAAAATATGAAAATTTTATTAATTTTTGTTTTTACTTCCAAGTGCGTTAATATACAAGGGGTTTGATAATTCTGTTAACAACGCTCGTAGGTACTGCGGACTAAACTGAGTCGAAAAGTCTTCTATCATTTTGCAATAATTAACAAGATATAAATAATCATTCAATATTGGTTTTCAATAATTTTTTATTCAAACACCATTAACTTTACAGAAAAACAACAAGAGACAAAAATTGTTAATTTTTCTCCTTATAAAGTTTTAAAATTTTTTTCAGAATTTTTTAATATCGTATTTCCTCACATGTTGATAAAAATACTTGCCAATGAAAAAATGCAATACTAAAAAGTTGATAAAAAATTCTTAGAAAAAAATCTTAGAGCTCTATGAGAAGAACACAAACAATTTTTGCTGTTTTTCTGTAAAATCGATAGTACGATCAATTGCATCATCGCAATAGTAACAAGATATTAATTATTAAATAGTGCCGAAATTGAAGATCAATATTCGCTGTCTCTATTTAATAATTAATATTTTAAATAATTATTTAATAATTAATATCTTGTTACCATTGCGATGATGCAATTGATCGTACTATCGATTTTACAGAAAAACAGCAAAAATTGTTTGTGTTCTTCTCATAGAGCTCTAAGATTTTTTTCTAAGAATTTTTTATCAACTTTTTAGTATTGCATTTTTTCATTGGCAAGTATTTTTATCAACATGTGAGGAAATACG